AAACCCAACATAATGATGAAAGCATCAAACCAAAACAGTAGGCCATATTCAGAAACTTAAAGGTTTGGCGGGAAAAGTGCAAAAGAGATTTCAGACATTGCATTTACCAGATTTTTTATTTTTAGGTCCTCAGATCTATGTCCACTGAATTCTTCTGAGTATTTCTTTTCATGTTACTGAACAACTAAATTGACAGCAAATAAAGGTTCTTTATTTCAAGCGTTTACCCCACCAAGTAGCAATGACAGTGACACACACTTGTTGCATACCCACTACAATGCCAAGATGCTGTGTTGCTTGGTGCTTTGCAAGACACAAAAGAGACGGATGACCTGTCTTCAAGGGGCATCTATGGAGAGAAGCTTAAAAGGAGTCTCTGTGGTCTAGTGATTTTGTAATGTGTCAAAGGAGCTGCAAGGTTGAAAAAAATTAGTGAACAGAAAAGAAGGTCTGGATTTGGGATATATTAAGTCTTTTTATGATAGTACATGGAAATAAAAATTACAGTCCTTAAAAGAAGAGACAGAGTTTAAACTTAGAAGTATCCCCATCCAGACATAAGGGTTTGTTAGCGTTAACTCCACAGCATGTCTCACTGGAGAATTTTAGGGTCATAGTTCCCTCTTGATTTGTTTTGAATTTAATTGTTTCCAGAACAATGGACTGCAGTTGCTTGATCATCAACCCCAGTTAGTTAGGAGGTTGTCCTTAAACAAGTTACTTGACCTCTCTGGCCTCAATTTCCTTATTTGTGAAGAAGAGGGAATCCAGATATCTCTGAAGCATGTTAAGATCTGGGGAACTTAATAGGTTTTTGGTTCTTTCTCTGTTTTCTAAACATCTGTCTGACCTCTATAGACCAGAGGAAGTCCCTGCTCTGTGGCTTTTTTTTTTTTTTTTGGCTAGCTTCCCAAGCGGCACTTATTTTTCTAAAGAGACATTAGCAGATGCTCCGTGAAGTAATCTGGAAATGACTTAAAATTCAATAGTTCTTAGCACTGGGAGCTTTGCCATTTGCCATTGTAATGCAAGCAAGAGTGTTAGAGTAATGTTAAAATGCTTTAATGCTGATGAGAATGTATGGCATACTCTCTGGCCATAAGGTTTCAGCAGTAAACAATAGCTGGTTGCTGACACTTGGGAGAACCAGAATTAAGGTGAATACATTAGCTATAACCAAAAGCGGGCATACGGTGAATCATGCACAAGTAACTGGGAAGACGGTTTCTCCTAATGAAAAACCATCCTCTCAGCTCCCGGGATCCTTCTGGAAAGTGTACAGTGTCTCCTCATAAAGTCTTAGGGGGATGGGGAAGCAGCCTCACAGTTTATCCCACAGTAATGACATCCGACTTCTTATGTACCTTCTCCACAGCTGCGGTGCACACGGTGCAGGTTCCTATGAAGCTTATGAAATAGCTTTAATTGCCAATGCCATGCCAATACATTTTAATTACTGTTTCAACAATATAATTAAGTTTTGCATTTATGTACTCTTATAACCAGAGTAGTTTGCTGAGCTGAAGAAATGAATACCAATGTTAATGAACCTACTAATTGAAGCAATATGTAGAGTAAAGATGCCGTTACTTAAATAATACCATTGTCACTTGTCCAATAATTTTAAAATATTAATTGCAATAAAATTAAGAGGCTTATGTATTCAAAAGAAAGAGTTTTTTTAAAACAGGCCATAAAACCTGGCAACCACTCACTCTTAATATTCTGGTGTTTGTGCTCTGATCAGTGAGCTCACCACTTTCCTCTTTAGAATGCAGCTTTAACTTGGTCTTGTTTTGGTATTTTATACTTAACAGTTATAAGCGAACAAGTAATCTAATTTTCTTTGGCAGAAAGGAAAACCGTCTAAACAGCAGTGTGATTCCGCCTGTTCTGCAGAGATATGTTAGGTTCTTCCCAGGTTTCTGAGTGGCTTGGGGAATGTGTGGATGGAGGAATATTAAATGATGATGTAATGCTGTACTGTAAGACACTGGCTTTTCATAATGGAATAGACCTCCCTGTTGCCTGGATGTAGATATTTCAGCTTGAAATTCCTAATGTCTGCTTAAAGATAGCCAGTGTGACAGCAATGTCAGCATCAGAAAGTCTGGGGGAAAGGTTAATATATGACCTGCACCAATGATCTTCTGAAGCTGCTATCCCCAATTGATACTGATCTTTAGTAAAGTGACAGAGAAAGGGACAAATGTGCTTAGAATCTGTGTCAAAACTTAAATATAAAAGAGTAGCATTATGTTGAAATACAAAGGTTCATTTCGGGTTTATGTTTATATATGCCAGGCTTTTACTTGAATTGAAGATATAAAATAATGATCATACTGAAGATCTTTAATTAAGAAACTGTTTTTTTATGACTGAGAATGGATATTTAGATGCATCAAAGAGAGGAAGTTCTGTTTATCTCTTAAAGGAGAAAGTTTTATTTGAACGCATAATATAACCATTGGATTTGAATTATAAACTTATAGTTACAGTCAAAGGTTTTCTTGATTTTTTTTTTTTTTGCCAGATGCTAACTTAAAAATATGTTAATTTTTAAGAAGAAAACCCTAGATTACAAAATGTAGGCAGACATTATATCTGGATATTTGGTCTACTTAAATTGTGCATTCATGATGGACATAATTTCTTTGAGTTAAATACTCCTCAAAAATTAATTATATAAAATGTCAACCACAGAACAAAAACACTGACATATGTACTTGTAACAATAATTGTAACTGTAATTTTTATATAGTTTTCTTTAGTTTGTCCCATTGGTATTTAATTTTATAAATTCAATTCAGTTCAGCCAATGATTTTTAAGCATCTATCTTGTGAGAGCATTAGCCTAAATGAAATAATGGGCTCTATTTTTCCTCTTTAAAAGAACATAAAAGGATATACCTCAAAACATAAATTCAAAAGCCTCTTTAGAGGGAAAGATGATTATGAGATTAACTTTTTCATTTCTATTTCATTAACTTTGAATGCAAACTACTAAGGTGGTAACAGAAAGCCATTTTACTTCTTAGCTTATAGCTGCTGAATAACCAAGTTCATGGACTCAAGCTATGATGGTAGTAAGTAAATGTGATTGACACACCTATTCAACCAGGATTTTCTTGGGGAATCACCTCCAAAATATATTTATCAGTTTTATGAAGTAGAAGCAGG